CCCTCGGTCCTGCAGAGACGCCGCGCCCCGGGACCCCCGCGACGGGGCCTGACCCGGGCTGGCAGCGCTCGGCCAGGCAGTAGAAGACGTAGAGGGAAGTGAGTAGCGAGCAGAGCATCAGCAAGAACTTCCTGAAGATGCTGCGCGACAGTGGCTCAGCCGGGCCTGGTTGGGCACCGGCGGGGCCCGAGGGGGCCATCCTAGCCGCAGGCGACTGACGACGGGCGGGCCATGCTAGGCCGGGACTGCACCAGGAGCCCTGCCATCCCGCTCGCTGCCCGGAGGCCACATCGTCCGAGCGCTCCTGCCTGCGGGAGAGGTGCCCCGCGGAGCGGCGGCCGGAGCTGGAGCGGGGACCAGAAGCCGCCCGCGAGCCTTTCTCGGGGTTCCGGGCTCCGGACGAAGGGGCAGAAAGGGGTTCGGGGCCGTGCTTAAGAAACCATCGTCTCGGGTCTGAAATGTGCTCGTGTCCTGAGCCTCGCTGGGCAGAGCTCGGCTCCCCGGGTCCCTGAGAGTAGCCGGACAAGGCAGTCTCTGCGGCGGCGGTGGCGAAGGCGCTGGGCTCAGCAGGGTTCCTGAGCGGCCACTCGGTGCGGATCTCGGCTCAGCGACCGTGCATCCTGCGCTCGGTCCCTATGGAGGGGACGCGGGACTCCCGGTCCGCAGAGCTGTGTGCGCTCCGGACAAAGCGAGTGACCCTTTTTCCCAGCCGCTGGCGGCTCTGCTTTCCTGGCCCTCCCAGGAGCGCGCTCAGAATCCTGGCTCAGATGGGCTCAGCACGGAGCCAGGTTCCTCCTTAGCCCCTCTGTCTGAGTGGAACTCGAACCTTCTGGCCTCTTGGGGCTCTCCGGAAGTCTACCCACTCCTCTGGGACTCCAGCTGGGAGCCGCCTGGAGTAGACCCTTTGCTCGGGACCTGTCAGTGGGCGCTGCCACTGTGCTCCTAGACGCTCCCCGCAGCCTCCTTGGCCGCTCCCGCCACACGTGGGACACGAAGGACAGCAAACTTGGTGGTGACGTCAATGGCCCAGGCCAGACCAACCCAGGGATCCGCGCCGGGGTGCCGAGCAGAAAGTCTCACGGCCCCACTAGAGGGGCCAGAGGGGTGGGACCGAATTAAAATCTGAAAAAAGGCGGTGGCGAGGCACCGCCCAGTACACTGGGGAGGGCTGGAGGGGGGCGACAGAGGCGCCTTCCCCACCGTCCCCTTCTCCTTCACCCACCCCTCCCCCTCAGGTCTCTGGGCTGCTGTCAACTGACAGGGCCTCTGTGATTGCCTGGATCTGATGCCCACTCTGTCAGCCCCTCGCCAGATTATGGGTTCCCAAGTCTTTCCAGCTCAGTTTAGCTCTTAGCGGCCTTGACGCACCCCAGATCCCAGTTCCTGTTTCCTCTTGTCCCAGCTTCGGCATCCCTATTCCTTTCCAGCTCACCCATTCCCATCCCCTGCTTCTTGTCCTAGAGATTTGAGAAGTTTTGTTTTCAGGAGTTCTTGGCGGCTCCGGCAGGCCACGCCCCCCGATTTGTTTGGGTAGAGAGAATTCTTCCTGGTAGATTTGACTTCTACTTCACTATCCAGCGCCTAGAAAGGAACCCCTTAGGAAAGAGATCAATAAATAAATCAAAAGTAGAAATTAAGATATTTTTAAATGTGGGTCTGATTCCAAATCCATATGCCCAGTTATTGGTAAAGTTTACTACTTTGTATGTGTGCACCATTGCGCTATGCGAGGCTGTGTTTGCACTCTTCCAGGGTAAAGAGTCCTTTCGTAAACAGTGATTTCCTCTTCCTGTTATATCCCCTGACCCTGGATACCCTTCCTGTGGCCCCAGAACAGGTCACACAGGGGTAAAATCTGCCACTTGCTGGTTCCTAGGGAGGTGGTCAGTAGAATCTGCAGATGTTGGGGGCTTCATTGTTTTCTTTGGGGTCACTCTGTGGGGATTTTGTTTTTCAATTTTATTCATTTATTTTTATTTTATGTGTATGCCTGTTCGGCCTGCATGTGTGTCTATGTACCACTTGGGTGTCTGGAGGGTGCTGGATCTCTTTGAACTGGAGTTACAGACTGTTGTGAGTCTAAATGTGGGTGCTGGGAATCTCACCCAGGTCCTCTAGAAGAGCAGCCAGGGCTCTTAACAGCCGAGCCATCTCTTCGGTTCCCAGATATTTCACTTTTGTCCCAGTCTTAATGTCTCCTTATGTCTGGCTGTCTCCTCCAAGGCCCTCATCACTTTATTCCTATCCATGTGTTTGTAGACATTTTTCTGCCCCAACCCTGTCACCCAGCTACCATAAAGATACTTCACTAGGAATTCTGCCTGCCCAGCCTTGACACTCAGATTTTTTTCTCCTCTTCCTGCCTATACCCCATTTGACCATGGAAGTGGAAGTTAGGGGGTTGCCTTTCGGCCTCCACAGGGGTGCTACTGATTCTAAGCTTGCTTGGTTCGAAGTGGATCACGTGTGGCATGCTGGCTAAGAACTCACAGGTGAGTATAGTCTTCTGTTCATAAACTACCAAACACAATTTATTCTACAGTCAATGAAGAACTGGCTAGATTTTAGGGCCAGGAAATGCTGGCCTTTGCCCAGGATGAGCAGCAAACCCTGCCAAGTTTCCATGTCTTATTATGTCTGAAAATTGGATATTGACAAACCACTTTGAAGTTTAATACTGACTTAAGGTTTAATTTATTTCGAAACTTTCCTCAGTGTGTTTCAATCTGACTTGTAGAAGGAAGGCAACAAAAACAGTGACCATTTAAAAGTTGTTCTGAAAGCAAGTAGTTTCACCGTCATCAGAACATCTGTTTTCTCATCTGGAATGCATTGGGCTCCGAGTTCACCTGCAGCTCATCACGAAGTGATATTCTACCTGTATAACCCTCTGTGAGCATTAATGGTGTGGTCCCAAGCCCCCAGACTTCCCAGCATCCAGACACATAAACTGAACAAATGTCTATTGTGCATATTGGCCCAGTCTGTGGTACTGTCTGAACAGTGGAAAGGGACTACCAGCCCTTCTTTCTTCTTCTTTTCTTAATCCAAGTCTTTGGAAGTAGTGTGTGTTCTCTTCTTACACACCTTAACTGAAGCCACATTTCAGATGCTTTCACGCGTAGCTTGTGACTACTGAAGCAGCGGCTTAAATGCCAGTGCTGTTTCAGAGGAGGAAGGGGTTTCAACAGCAGCCGGGCACGCACAGTCCAATACAGACAACTCCTAGAAGCTTTATCAACAAAAACATTTGCTTATAGAGAAGCAACAGCGACAGTACCCACATATATCACAGGACTCCTGGGTTAGTGGCCTCATAGCGACTAAGTTTACATCTACAGAAGTGAGACAGATCAGTGTAGAGAGGGGATTGTAGCTGGAAGGAATAGCTACACAGAAAAGCACTACACCTTGGTGTTTGGGCAAAGCTAGCCCAAGTTGACCTCCTAGGGAAGGAATCAGAGAAAGAAGTGTGGTGGTGATGGTGGTGGTGGTGGTGGGTGTGTGTGTAAAAACAAACAGATGATAGATAATACAGAAAGCATTGCTGAAGGCTT